TCTTTATATTTAGATCGGCCCCGCCAATCTCCCCCTGGCTCCTTCACCCTTCGCCGATCTCCTTCCCTCCCCCTCCAGCGGCTCCCTCCTCCTCCTCTCCACCCACCTCGGCCCATGGCCTCGTTGATCTACTCCACCACCCCTCCCCCGGGCTCCTTCGCCACCCCTGCCCCTGGCTCCAGTGGCGAGGCCCAAGTGGCCCAGCAGCCAGGCCCCGCCGAACTCCTTTTTCCCCAACCCCGGCTCCAGCGGTGAGGCCTAAGCGGCCTCGCTGATCTCCTCCATCCCCCCTCCCCAGGGATTGCCCCAAGTGCGCAGGAAAATCTCCCTGCCCCTCCTGCTTCCTTTTCCACAGCCAAATTCTAATGGGAACATCTAAAGTCACAGAGCTGGTAATACTCTTAATTTCTCTGCAGGAGCTCTGTGCAGGTTTATTCTCTGTTCTCAGAGAGTGCATCCTGAGCATGGTATCTATCAAGCTCTCTTCCATGCACCCAATTTCCACCATGTATAAAGCATCCAAATCTTATTTACATTAATAAGTTTTGGTGTAAATGTTCTCCTGTATGCAGAGACAGAAGTTTCATGGCAGGAGGAGAGGCTGAGATTGTGATTCCCTCCGTCTCTGGAGATATTGACTATCAGCATACATTACTCTGCATGGCAGATCTCACTTCTGAGCATCTAAGTAAACTTCCATTAGAAAGTTTCTACCTCCTGCCAAAGATACATAAACCTGAACACCCTGGACATCCCATTGTCTTGAGCATAGGCACCATCACTGTAGGAGTATCAGGATTTATGGGTTCCGTCCTGAGACCATACCATTATTAATACCAGGGGTCTTTTCATAGAAAAAGAGCTGCAGGAGCTCATTAGCATATGGTATGCTAATGAGCTACTAGGCTATTAGACTTTGCCATGTCCCCTGACATCACTGGAAGTGATGTCAGAAGGGAAAGCAAAAGGGGGGGAGGCATCTTCAAAAGCCTCCCCTCCCCTTCCCCCATCAAGCCCCCACCACCCCCACGGATCCCTTACTTACCGCTTCAGCCCCAAAAGACCCCTGCCTGTCAGAGTACCACAGCAATCAGTTCTCCGCATTTTCTTTCCAAAGAGTAAAGCTTTATTGGAGACAGGAAAGGTAGGCCATCTGTTATACACATTCAGTGTCAGAACTGATATTAAGGTGGGAGAGGTGAAAGATATACAGAGTTCAAAAAGGGCCCTCATGATGGATCCAGGCCAATCAGCGAAGGACCCGGCAGCGGGGCTCTTTGGGCCTCCCCCTGGCCCCAGTGCTTTAGCACGGGGAGCTGGGGGCGGGGCTTGCCACGTCACGATTTGCGCCGGCCCCAAAAGACCCCTGATTAATACCCCTACCTATGTCTTTGATACAACAGACTTCCTGAGGAAACTGGATTCCATTGACCATCTCCCATAAAACAGCATTTTAGCCACCATGGATGCTGAGTCTCTGTAAACTAACATTCCCCATCAAGAAGGACTACAAGCCAGGAGGAACATTATCCCTGACAACACCACTGCAGACCTTGTCACTGAACTCTGCAAGTTTGTTTGTACCCACAACTGCTTCAGGTTCGTTGAGAACTTATACCTCCAAATCAATGGCACAGCCATGGGCACCCACATGGCTCCACAGTATGCCAACATTTTCATGGCAGATGAAAAGTACGCAGACGGAGAGTGATTTCAGCAAAGCGTACTTTATTCGATCAGGAACAAGATGGCTTTGGCCGGCTTATATCCCCTGAGAAACTGCCACCCAAAACACACCCCTACTTCCCAATAGGTTATTTACAGTGGCTGAGAGTCCCATAGGCTCTTGGCCGGGAACCTAGCCCCCTGATTGGAGCGGACTAGGATCCGCATAGTCCATTGTCTCTTGGAGCGAAGCTCGACGTTTGTGTCTGACCGCGTGGAGCCCGAGCCGGCCACGCGGTCTGGTCTGGACTGGATACATTACAGCAGATCTAGAACAGTGTCTTCTGAACTCCTACCGACTGGCACCTCTCCTTTACTTGAGATTCATTGATGACATTTTTATTGTCTGGACCCCTGGCAAAGAAGCCCTCAAGAGGTTCCACCAGGCTTTCCACAACTTCCACCCCACCATCAATCTAACTATGAATTACTCTACACAAGAAATAAGCTTCCTGGACACCACAGTACATGAGGGACACATAAGTACCACATTACACCAGAAATCAACAGATCGGCAAACATATCTGCATGCTTTCACCTACCAACCCAACCACATAAAACAATCCTTTTTGTATAGCCAAGCCCTATGCTATAGTCGCATCTGCTCCAATCCCTCTGACAGAGATGCTCACTTGAAGGATCTGCAACAGGCATTTTTGCAACTACAATATCCTCCTGATATGGTGGGAAAGGTGATTGGAAAAGCCAGAATGATACCCAGGGACAAGACAAGCCCCAAGACAATTCCCAAGGAGAATAACAACAGAACACCACTGGTAGTCACCTACAACTCACAGTTCGAGCCAGTTCAACCCGTTATTAATGACCTACATCCCAAGCTGGATAGTGACACTTCCCTCACACAGGCACTGGGGAGGGCAGCTTTTTCTTGCTTACAGACAGCCTGCTAACCTAAAACAACTTCTTACCCACAATGACAAACTACTTAACAGTGATCAATGGTACCAAGGCCTGCAACAAACCAAGATGCCAACTTTGCTTTCATATAGATCCATTTCTAGCAACACCATCAGTGGGCCCAGCAACATCAGCCATATCAACTCAGGTTCATATTCCTGCTCATCTTCTAATGTGATTTATGCCGTCACAACATATGCCCTTCTGCCCTCTACACTGGACAAACAGGCAAGACCCTTCAAAAAAGAATTAATGGACATAAGTCTGACATCAGGAACCACAACATTCAGAAACCATTGGGGAGGGGGGGCATTTTAACCTTCCAGGACATTCAGTTGCTGACCTGAAAGTAGCAGTTCTCTTACAAAGGAATTTTAGAGACTGCTGAATTGCAACTGATAATGAAGCTCAAGACAATGCATCCATCTGGATTAAGAACATAAGAACATAAGAGACGCCAATGTTGGATCAGGCCAAAGGCCCATCCAGTCCAACACTCTGTGTCACACAGTGGCCAGAAATACCAGTGCCATCAGGAGGTCCAGCAGTGGGGCCAGGACATTAGAAGCCCTCCCACTGTTGACCCCCCCCCCAAGCACCAAGAAGACAGAGCATCACTTGCCCCAGAGCCCCTAGCTATACCTTGTGGCTAATAGCCACTGATGGACCTCTGCTCCATATGCTTATCTATTGAATTGAGACCTAGGTTTCCTGTCTCATTACCAATGCTAATTCTCCATGCCTATTATCCCTCTACATATCTCACCTAAATCCAATCACACCTGCTGTTGTCATTCACCTGCTATTGTCCTTTGCCCGCTAATGTCATTTGGCATCTGAAATCTCTCCACTTTCCAATAAACAGGACAGATGGACTTTCATTCTAGCTGTATCTGAAGAAGTGAGCAGTGACTCACCAAAGCCTGCCACATATTTTGTTAGTCTTTAAGGTGCTACTGGACTCTTGCAGTTTTCTACTTCCACTAGAAAAGTGAGTGATGGAAGAGATATGACAAGATCCGTGGTATTACATTTGCAATACTCACTGATGCATGAAGGTAAACAAGTGATCAGTCTGCATTTGCGTACCATACCATAGATTTCTGGGTTTTAATGTCACTAAGTGGCACTAACTCATTGATGCTGTGGTATGGACTAGTCTTGAAACTTTTTAAATATACTGAACTGGAACGCATAAAGTAACGAAATAAAGACAGTGCATCGAAGCATGCGTACAATAATTTCCCTACGATTGCATGACGTTCTCATCTCCTATGTGTTTAATTTGCTTTTTAAAATAAACACATTTACATGCAGTAATTCAACAGGCGCAGCATTTCCCACCAAGGCATCACTTCAGGAAAAGCTGCACGTTTTATTTCTGCCAGCAACTAAAAGTTATCCCAGGTGTCTGGCAATATCTATCCTTCACCACGTGCAGCCCGATTCTATGCATCCAAGCCCTTACATCTAATTAAATATGAACAACACTGCAGCTACTAGACGCCGTCCATACACAAGCCTGACTTGTAGAAGCACTTCTGGGCGTAGAGATTTAGTTCCCTAGAAAGAAAAATTCCTCCAGCATCTTCCAGTCTTAGAGGTAGAAAAAGGCAAATTTGCATGCCTGCTTCACTTCCGGTTGTCAATTGAACACCGGTATATGAGGGGTAGAAATGTAATACTGAAACGGGGAGCCGTTCTACTTCTTATTATAGATTTGGTTACCGTTAGGGGAGCCTTTCCGTTTCTAGTACAAGCACCCCCTCTTTCCCGACACCTTTAACTTGGAACCGGAAGTATAATTATAGTTTTGTTTCTGTATTATCGCTCTATAACCTTGAAAACATAGGCGCGCACAAGTTATGAAATGCACAGAGGAAAGAAATACAATGACATTTTCTGTGCAAAATTCAAATATACAAAACAAGCACAGAGAACATCGACCACAGCTGTAACGGCCCATCGTGCTTTAATGAACGTGCAGCGTAACTGTGCATGTTTACTCGGAACTAACATTGCAGTTCTGTCTGTCTGAAGAAGTGTGCTTTGCACAAGAAAGGTTACACTTTTTAAAAAATTTGTTCGATTGCAATTCTGTGTAAAGTTACAGCACTCTAAAGCCAGTTATTTCTATATAATGTAGTAACTTGGCACAGGACATTTTAAAACCCATGGTATTAAATGGAATTTATTCCCAGAGAATGTGCATAATAAGTACTGTCTATTGCTTCTCTCAAGTAAGAGTCAAGCTCTTTCCCCCTCTCCTTTTCTCAGAGCTACTGTGTGTCCCCGGAACGTTTATGCGTAGCACTGGCGGCTGCGTGCCTACTTCGGACACTTCCATTAAACACACCTAGTCAACAAGATGGCGGCCTCACGTGTGGAAGAAGAAGCTGCCGCCGCAGAAAGTGATTGTGGTAATGGCTTCTGTCGGCCTTGGGAAACCAACGGGGACGGGGGTGGTGGAGAAGAACAACGTGGCGCCTGGCTCGGCAGGGATGCAGGAACTTTCCCCTCTGAGCCTGGGATAGGGAGACAGGAAAGCAGCGCGTGTGCTTTACGTGCCTTCTACCTGCCCACTTCCATTCTCTCTTATTCCACGTTCTTTTGATAATCTTTATATTTGTGTCTCTTGAGCTGTTCTTTTCCAGACTTTCCTGCTCCCTGTAGTTTACTTTCTCGATTGTTTCGATTTCTGTTCTCAAGATGGCTTCAGTTGCTTTGCTTCAGAACAGTTGGTGTTCTTATTGTTGCTGCCCTTTCCCAGTTTTCCTGAATATCCGAGATACCACATTTGGAAAACAGGTCTAGGTTTTCGTTAATAGACGCCTTTCCCCGCTTCCGATTCTTTCAGCACTCGCATTTTGGGAACAGGAGGAAGGGACAGTTTTAATCTACTTTAACCTTTTATTTTAGCTTGTTGTCTGGTGCTTTATATATGTCTTTTTAGCTCTGCTTGTTTTAGTTGTAAGTTCCCTTGGTAGCCCTGATTGGGCAGAAAGGGAGGGCATACATTTTTTAAATAAAGAAATTAAGAGCAGTGACATTTTTGCAAACAGAAGGGAATGATGTGTATTTCCTTGTCTGGTGAATTTATATATTTATTCTGGGAAATAATGATTCCTTTAGAAACCAGTGACCTTCAAACTAACTAAAACATTTATAGTGGTTTGTTTGTTTGGTCTTTAGTCCACTCCAGTAGATCCTGAGAGGCAACAAGATTTTCCGGGTATGAGCTTTAAAGATTCAAAGCTCCCTTCGCCTGATATGTTTCAGAAAGCCAATGTGGTGTAGTGGTTTGAAGCCCCTGGTGCCATACAAGCTTGCTGGGTGACCTTGGGTCAGTCACACTCTCTCGGCCTAACCTACTTCACAGGGTTGTGAGAATAAAATTGGGGAGAACTATGTAACCTGCTTTGGGTCCCCATTAGAGAGAAAGGTGGCATGTAAATAAATTAAATAAATACTCTGAAAATCTTGATATCTAAGGTGCTACTGGACTCAAATCTAGCTCTTCTACTACAGAACAACATGGACACCCTCTGTTTTTTGTTTTGTTTTGTGTTACCGTAGTTATGAGACAGCTGTAGAGAGTAGGATTGGTTACAAATAAAATATTTTCCAGTATGTCAGGGGCTCATTCCCTTTTGCATAGTGGCTTAGGTCCAGCAGTTTTAGTCCTGGGTGGAGGTTTAGAGATGTTTTGTTTGTTACAAAATTCCTATGTGAAAGGTAAAGGTTCCCTTGCTCGAAAGCCAGTCGAATCTGACTCTAGGGTTGCGGTGCTCATCTCCGTTTCAAAGCCGAAGCGCCAGCGCTGTCCGAAGACGTTTCCGTGGTCATGTGGCTGGCATGACTAAACAAGGCACACGGAACGCTGTTACCTTCCCACTGAAGTGGTACCTATTTATCTACTTGCAATTTCTTGCTTTTGAACTGCTAGGTCATTAATGCTACATGTGAGTTTACTATTTTTAATGGTGGTCCTCTAAAATCTTGTGGCTTCCGTTCCCTCTTAGTTGCACAGCTGGGCTCTGGGAAGTGATATCTGTAACAGTATTTGATTGGCTTATTACTGAACCTCGCATCTCCTTTTTAAATAGCATCATGGAAACTCCAAATGCCTGCCAGATTCCAGCCTTTTCTGTAAGAGACATCGTAAGGGATAGACAACTAACAGAGGGAGGCTTTAATCTCTCTGTCTGGGAGGGTGTGGCTGAGAGTCTTACAGTGCAATCCTAAACAGAATTACACCCCTTCTAAGCCTTCAATTGTCAGATGGCCTGTTTCTGAACAGGACCAGTGTTCAGCTAGACGTGATTGTATGTACATGCTTATTCAGAATGTCTCCTGTTATGCTCATTTTAACCTACGTTGCCTTGGAGATTTCAACACTAGATGTCAGTATTGCAGTTTTTTTCAAAAAACCATTTTTTTGTTAAAATTACCAGGAAAGCTTTTTGTCAAAAATGTGTGCTCTACCCAAACTTTTATTAGTTGCATAATAAATAACCAAAGTTCTTTCTTTCTTTCTTTTTTAACCTCAATGGCTTCTGGAACCATTGCTCAGGGGAAGGTTTGTTTGCAAGATATACTACCTCATAAATTCATCAAAATGTTGCCTTGTCTTGCTTAGGCATATGGTGGTTAGTCCTGAACTCCAGTGACTTTTGTTCTCTGGGATAACCTTTTCTTCTCCATAATGGATGGGTTCTACATAGCAGAGAATTTGACACCCCTTCTCTGTTTTCAGGCTCTGAACAAAGCTCAGGTCTTCCAGATGACAGCTTTTCTTCTGGGGTTGAGGAATTCGAAGGCGATGAGGAGGATGCGTCTGCAGTCTTGGATGACAAAGATGAAACTGCAGCTGAGTCCAAAGATGCAGCAAACCCTGGCTGGGCTGATGCCATGGCGAAAGTGCTTAACAAAACAGTTCCCAAGAGTAAACGTACCATCTTGGTTAAGAACAAAGCACGAGACAAGGAACGAGAGAGAGAGAAACAAGAAAGGTTGGAGAAGAGGAGGCAGGTAAGGAAACAGGCACAATGTAATTATTGCCAGCCCTGAGCTGGGTAGCCCAGGCTAGCCTGATCTCATCAGATCTCAGAAGTCCTGGTTAGTATTTGGACGGGAGACCCTGGCAGCGGCAGATCATCTCTGAATGTCTCTTGCCTTGAAAATCCCATGGGGTCACCCAAGTCAGTTGCAACTTGATGGCAAAAAGAGAGAGATTGCCAAGTCCACCAAAGATCTCTTTCATAGGTACTGTTGATATCATAGAGATGAGGGGTAAGTTGCACCTGAGGAAGGTATTGCACCCTGCCTTCCTCCCTGAAGTGAGTGGAGCCCTTCCTCCCTGATGCCAATTCTACTATGGTTTCTAACCAGCCTGATGCTTGACCTTTGGCGCACTAATTACAAAAGATCTCTTGTTGTCAGAGTGCTTGTGCAGTGTGCAGGAGTACTATGGTAGGTGTAGGAGTGAAACCAACTGCTGCTCCATAAACCAAGGAGAACTAAAATCAAATAGGCTGGAGAGCCAGATAAATCCAGCAGCAACCTAGGGCCTAAGCTTAAATTGTTTATCAAAAATATGCGTGTCATTAAATTCAGCATCTAACCATCAGTTCTCCCTCAACCAGGCATTACTATAGAAGAACAACTTGTTACTGTAGGCTGTGGCAAGTTATCTATTATTATATATGCATTGTCCTTGCAGTGTGCTACTAACTCCAAGAGCAAGCATCCCTAGCCTCCAAAAGCAAGCTATCAAATCAGGAATTAAAGCCACTGTGGCATATAGCACTTGGTGAATCAGGTCCTGGCAAAGATGGGTGGTTTCTTAGCCCTGAAGACAAGCCAGTTATGTGCATGGAGTGTAACAGGTGCAGCATACCACATAGTGGGTCTTGGGGAGGGAACCTTTTGTGGTCCTTCTTTTGGATCATTGTGGGGGCTTATGTTTGACATATCTGTGTTAGTAAGTATAAAGTACCGGGAAGCAGACCTTTCAGGAAAATAATTTCTTAGCACTGTTGCTGATATGTTTGATTAATAAGATACCAATGTCTTTGGTGAGCAGCAACTTTTTTCATCTTATTAATGACTTCTTTGAACTACTGGGGATAGGAAGAGCTAAAAATTTATACCTTGTGCTTCTTTTTTAATAATGCCGCATACTAGTACAAAACGGAGTGGTCTAATATGAACTTGTCTGATCCACAGTCCAAATGAGCCGCCATGATTCTGGTTTTAGTGGATCTAGTCAGACTCCATCCAGTGACTTGTCTGCATGTCCTCATCTTTTATCTGTAACAAGCATTTAGCAGTTAATTTAATCTAAACATTGATCTTTCAAAGCATAGTTTGACTGGCAAGCTAATTTTAACTTGGAAAAGGACTGTTCTTGCCTGAAGATGTAGAAATTTTGTGATATTAAAAGTTCTTTCTGGTTTGTAAAACACTAATTTTTGGATCTAAACTGGAGCAGTATTTGATTGGCAGGATAGTTTCCAGAGTAAAAACTGCTGGGGAGACTGTCTTAGGCAGGATCTGTATGAGGGGAAAGGGGGAGCTTGAGAGGTGAACTGAAGCCATGAGAGAAAAACTGCAGTTTGGGGGAGTAGCTTTAAGCCTCTTCCATTCCATTCCTGAGATCTTAACGGAGATTTCATCATCCTATTCCAGCAGCAGGTTGTGTTATGAGACTGTGGTAACTGTTTGGGTGCTCCCATTGTGTTCAGCATTCAGGATGAGTCCATTGCAATATGTAATCTCATCAGTCATAGACTGCTTTCTAGATCTGGTTTTATCAAATAAATACGTGGGATACCTCAAATTGGTGGTGGGCTGTTACACTGTAAACTGATTTGTGCACCATGAGATAAATTTAAAACAGCCTCCCTGTCACTGGTTCCATGCTGAGGGAAAACTAAAACGGGGTTGGTTGTTTGATCACAGGCCAGAGCATAGTTATAAACACATGCATTCATTGCCGTTTGCCTGGATTCATGAAACTTCATGGAAGAGGCTGTGTAGGTAATACAGACTTAGTTTTAAGAGGGCTAGAACCAGGTTAACTCACCATTCAGTTCTTTTAAGAAGCCGGTAAAGCTGCTTTTCTTTTTGAAATAAATATGAAATAAAAGCCAGCATATGTTATACTTGTCGATGAGGACAGAAAATGTCATTCTGTTTGAGTTTAATGTAAAAAATCATCGTTGGTTGCAAATCACATTTGATTAAATTTGTATTCAGTGAATAAGACCGATCACGAACAGGTAATTTTAAAATCCCCAGTAAATAATGGCTGAGGATCTTGATGGGTTCCCAACTTGCAGTATATGCCAGGGTATGTCAATGTACCATGTTTCACCAGAACTATCAGTAGAAGGCAGAGGCTGCATGCAAGTCATAGTGGCTGGACAGGGCTGGAGACCATCTTGGAATGATGCACCAGACTATGCACGGCCCATGTTTAATCTTAGTTCTAGCAGTTTACTGTAGAATATATTTGTCCTTTTAAAAGACTATGCTCCAGATAAAACTATATGCACCTTGCAGATGAGTTTATTGTTTTTAGTTTTAACTTTAATCTGCTAGAATAAAGTTTGCACAGTTTCATCTAAGTGCCACAGGGAGTAAGGGGTCTGTACTTTCTTTCTTTGGCTAACATGGGAATTCCATTTTGGGTGTTCCACACTCCTGTTTTCTAGAACTGTTAGCCCTAATGCAATAGGAGTGGTGTAACTGGAGAGTCTGTAGTGTGAGAATTTACCCTGCTGATATGTTGTCCAGCCCTATCAAAGTAATGCTTTGAAATGTAGATACATTTCCCCCATCTTTAACCTAATGTTCTAAATGATCTATCCATTTTTCTTTCTTACCACATATCCTATATGAATGTGCCACATTTTTAAAATGCCTAATGCTCTTTCTTGTAATAATATTTATGATGCAGCTTGATAAAAAGCGGGAGTGGGAAGCGATGTGCAGAGTGAAGCCAGATGTTGTCAAAGACAGAGAAACAGAGAGAAACCTTCAGAGAATTGCCACGAGGTAAGAGAGAGTGTTTGTACTTTTGAAACAGATCTAAAGACATGCCTGAGTAATCTGCTTCTAATCAAATAGAATGCTTAAGAAGTGTCTCGTGGGAGTAAAATGATTTATACTTGGTTCTGTCTCGTACAGTATCAAGTTCAACAAAAGATTTCAGAAGTCTTATGAAAGTATAAAATTTAGATGAGAGTATAACATGTTAAGTGTTCACCCAGCAGGGATTCTGGGCCTGATCTCATCGTTTTGTTAATTCCATACTTCCAAAATATACAGCCCCACTCTTTGTATTTCTCTAAAATGCATTCCCTAAAACTTGCTGTTCTTGTTGTCAGATTACCGTCTTGCGTAAGGCATGTGTCTCTAGTATAATAGCTTGCCAATGTGCTCTCTTGATCATATCTGTGGGCCTATTTTGACATCCTTACCTCGGCAGAGGCTGTTTTAAAGGGATGTCTCTGACCTTTGCTTAGGAGCGTGTTGTGAATCCTTGACTTGCTTTTCCAGTATGTACTATAACCTTGTGCAGGAATTTTCAATTGTGTTGCTATCTAAGGGCTGGTTCACACAAACAGTTGGTACTTATTTGCTCCATGTGATCCTGTACTTGGGTCATTTGGAGGGACTTCAGTGCAAACCAGCTGCTTAAACAGAGATAGCTGGAGCAGTATTTCTGGTTATGGGGAGAAGGCAGTGATGGAAGTGGTTGTGGCTGCCTGCCCATTTGCCTGCCCATTTTTTCCTCTGCTGTTTCTTTCTCCCTGCTCCCCCCATTATTTTTGCCTGCCCTGATCTTTATGCTTTATTTTATTATTTTGTTTACTCTTCCTTTTGTACTAAGACAAAATGGTTTATGGGATATACTGACAGCATAAGATAGCCAATGAGCAGTGCAGTAGGAGGATTGCAGAATTAGAGAACAAGGCAAACCATAAACTAAGACAAAGGTATACAATAAAAATACAGAAAGTGGATTACAAGGTATAAGATGATGCAGTAACAGCAAGCAATAGCTACAGTAACCATTGCAGTGGATCACAATACTATTCCATTATAAAGGTCCCCTCCTGGACTGTTCCATTCTGCTTCAGTTCTATTCTGCTTAAATGCCCCCTTGAAGATTACTGTTTTGCACATTCTGTGGAATGATAGAAGTGTGGGAGCCATCTTGACCTCCTCAGGCATGCTTTGTACAACTCTGCACAGTGTAAAAATAAAAGTGCTTTTCGTGCATTCATCAAAGTTAGTATGCACATATTTTGTGAGCTACTACGATGAGCTTGTATACAAATATTGGATGTGTAATCAGTGTCAGCAGGAGCAGATTTTGCACTAAGGAAATGCTGTCTCCTTGCTGACTTCATCCACGAGGACCATATGAAGCAGAAGTTCATCAGTGGCTATTAGCCACAAGGTATAGATAGGAACTCTCAGGCTGGGGCAAATGATGCTCTGTATTTTTGGTGCTTGGGGGGGCAACAGTGGGAGGGGTTCTAGTGTCCTGGCCCCACTGCTGGACCTCCTGATGGCACCTGGTATTTTTGGCGTGTAACAGAGTGTTGGACTAGATGGACCATTGGCCTGATTCAGCATTGGCTTCTCTTATGTTCTTATGATCAGGCACACACACGTGTTCTTCTGAGTGAGAATCGTGTTTGCTGCCTAGGCTAGCCCGATTTCTTCAGAAGCTGAGCAGGGTCAGCCCTGGCTAGTATAGGGCTGCCAAGCCATGGCGGGGGATCCGTGCGTCTTCACAGGATCCCTGCCGCGGGGGACAGCGATACGCATTGCACCGCCATCGCCAGGATGTGACGCTACGCGTCGCTTTGGCAACGGGACTCCAAACAGCCCCGCCATGGCTTGGCAGCCCTAGGCTAGTATTTGGATGGGAGATCTCCAAAGAACACCAGGGTCGTGACACAGAGGCAGCCAAGGGCAAACCACTTCTCAATCTTGCCTTGAAAACCCTGTGGGGTTGCCATAAGTCAGCTGTGACTTGACCGTATTTCCATGACCACCATCTTTTCAGGAAGATGTAATATGCATCTGGACTAAAGAGACCGGTTGCTGCCAGTTAAAGCTTCTCACAGTCAAGGGCAGAAGGGAATAATTTTGATTAGGTCTCTTCTGATCTTGGGTGGCAGGGGTGATAGACCTGTTTGTACTTCCTCTCACTACTGATTACTCAGTCTCCTATTTCCTAAATATGTGACTAGTAACTTACTAAAGTGTTTGCTCTTAGGAGCTAAGGTTGTTTATATTGTGTGGGTTGGATCCAAAGTCTCTCATTGTTAGACTTCATCTAATGGAGGAAGACACTCATTTCATGGAAGACAGTCTTCCATGACACCAGACACTGTAGAGAACATTTATGATGGTTTCTGTAGGCTTCCCATCATGGGCGTAGACTTTCCAATTTCCCGGGGGGGGCTGGGGCTGGGCCAGAGGCATTGCTGTGCTAGGAGCAAGGGTGGCTGGAACCAGTTGCCCCCGGGGGCAGGGCCGGCCCCAGGTGTTTTTGCACACTAGGCGAGGATACCTTCTGGCCAATGCCATCCAGCAAGCTTTGATGGCAGAACGGGGATTCAAATTTGGTCTCCTAGATCCTAATCTGACATTCTAACCACTATATGACACTGGCTGTTACATCTACTTCCTTTTCCTATTCTCAGATGCTGCAGCCTTTTGCTGTTCAACTGCACACTTTTACTTGTAGCCACTGAATGTTTATATACTTAAAGGCAAAATTTTATCCCCCCCCCCCCCGAAATTGGAGTTATTTGGTCTTTGCAAACCATGGTCTTTGATAAGGATGAGCTAAAGCATAAGGTTTGCAAACTAACAAGCAGGAATAGTCTGCCTAGTTGGAAATCCATGTTGCCTGAATTATGGATGAAATTCTGATTTCTGTACAAGAGAGTCACTGTGGGCACTAATTTTATCAGTGGCCTACTGGTGGCAATAGAGAATAAGCCCTCTTTGTGAAAAGCTAGAGAGGTGTACTCCCCAGTGGCAGCTTGAGACCAGAGTCAACTAAGTAAATCTCTCATTCTTCATAATAAAAACAAAGGTCTGGAGAGTCATTTTAACAACTCACCAACAAAGAAGCTTTATGACAATATTCATCCACTGGGGTGGGAAAGAGACACAGTAGAGCAAGAGGATTTAGGAATAGTAAGAACAGGTTCTTGGTAAAGTTCATTTGCAAAGGTCCTGAACAAATGCCTAAAGAAGATAACAGGATGGATGTGGATCAGTAAACTAAAGCTTAATCCAGAGAACATTGAGTTGGTTGAAGTCAAGGCAAGGGACATTCAGAAGTGGTTTGCCAGTGCCTGGCTTGGCATTGCAACTCTGGTATTCCTTGGCGGTCTCCCATCCAAATGCCAGGGCTGACCCTGGTTAGCTTCTGAGAGCTGATGAGATCAGGCCAGCCTGGGCTATCCACTGTCTTTTAGGTGCTAGGCCAAATCCCAGGCTTTAACTGAAGGGTATCATTAGTTTTAGTTATGTTTTATAGCCTCAGCAGTCCCAGCTTTTAACTTCAGCTTTAAGAAATCAAGGGTTTTGTTTGTTTTAGGGGAAGGGGGTTTATATTTACATCTGCCAATGATAGTATGTTAAAAAAAATTAACAGCCTGGGATATTTG